ACGCCTAGAGCCAGCAGCCGAGCTCTGGGGTGCAGGGCAGCACGGTCCAATGGCTAGAGTCAGTAGCACAGCTCTGGGGTGCAGGGCAGCATGGTCCAATGGCTAGAGTCAGTAGCAGAGCTCTGGGGTGCAGGGCAGCACGGCCCAATGGCTAGAGTCAGTAGCAGAGCTCTGGGGTGCAGGGCAGCATGGTCCAATGGCTAGAGTCAGTAGCATAGCCCTGGGATGCAGGGCAGCACGGCCCAATGATTAGCGTCTGCGAGTTTTGGGGCAGCTGCCCCACGAATGGGGCCCAGGCCCACCCTACTCCACCAGGGCCCTGGCCGTGGGGGAGTGATCAGCAGGGAATCCCAGTGAGCTCACTGGGTGGGCGATACCCCTGGGGTACCCTCCCTGGGTCACGTGCTGCCAGATACCGCCATGGGGTGATCCCTGCCGTTCCTAGGTCCTCCGGTTCCACCGCACCATTCTCCCCCCGAAGATCCACCCGCTCCGGAGGCTCGACGCCACCTCCCGGGTCTCCGGCACCACGTCCTTCCTCCCCTGCGTCCGGCCCAGACTGTGCCTGGCGGCTCCCTTTTATCCTACCCCAGCACTTGGAGCATGCCCAGTCTGGGAAGGGGGCGGGACTTCCTCTGCCATAAGGGTTTTAACCCCTCCTGTCTCATCGAGGGGCCTGTAGCCCGTCACAGGGAGGCAGACACCGAACGCTGCTGGGTCAGCGCTCACTTTGTGCCACCTAACCAGACGGTTCCGGTTCCGATCGTTTTCCTATAGCGCGCCTAGAACCCTATTTCAGTATTTAATACGGATGCAAACACATTGAAAACGCAGATAAGAAACGGATAGTTTGCTAACATTACCTTTACATTAATGCAGGGTGGTGACACAGACATTTCCTCCGTGGCATACACATAATCTGATATAGAACGGAGAATCTTTGTAAGTTTGGGAGCTAATAACTTGGACACTTTAAGAGCTACCGCAACCCAACTTTGCATGGGAAATCTTTCATCCAGGAGAAGGTTTTACGGTTCTTTTGGACCCCATCGGGCCCGAGCTCAAGCTGTAAAACTCAAAAAGTAACCCACCCGCTGCCCTTGGCCCCTCCCACCTACTAGGTTACAAAAGCGACCCTCGTCCCTCCGCCCCCGTGCCGGCACGCAATGCTCCGACTCCCACTCGCACAACAGCTTGGGCACCCGCCCTGCACCCCGCAGCACCTGCAGCCCCGGGCACAATCTGGGGCGTCCCTCCCGCGTGTAACCTCCCTTCCACCCGGGGTCGCATCCCCTCACCCCCGGGGACGACGCGGACCTATATTTTGATCCCTATAGAAATCAGTGCAACTTTTCTATCATTCCAAAAAAGATAATGGACGACTCTTTTTCTACATTGTGTTCCTCCGGTTTCCCGAGCAAGGCCGGATCACTCCAGCTAGATGATGAATAAAAGATTTAGTAAGACGCATGCATGTACTAGGAGATTGGCCCAGCATCGCTCGGGTCTTTAACTCAATTATTTTTTTGTTTTTCTTCATTTAAATCATTGCTCTGGGGAATGCTGTGGCGCCAGGGGGTACAGCCACAGAATCCCAGAGCGGGCAGAGATCTCAGGAGTCGTCGAGTCCAGCCCCCTGCCCAAAGCAGGACCAATCCTGACTCAATCATCCCAGCCAGGGCTTTGTCAGGCTGAGACTAAAAAACCTCTAGGGATGGAGATTCCACCCCCTCTCTAGAGACTCATCCCAGTGCCGCAGTCTCTACCTTCTTCCTAATAGGGACCTTGGAGTTGGGAGATTCAGGATTTGCTCAGTCCTGGCTGGGCCTGGTGACTCTGTCTCTTTTCTCTATGGTTTTGTGCATCCCACTAGTCAGAAGGGAAGGGGGGTGTTCAACCTTTCCCTCGTCCCCGCACAACCCAACCCGGACCTTGCTTTACATTAGGACCAGAGGAAGCTGCCTTCCAAATTGGACGATCTTAGCTCTTATCGCTTAGGAGTTCTTGAACAGACAGACAGACAGACAGACAAGCTCTGTCACGTACAAACTGTCTCAGATATACAGCTGGGCTGTGTCTAGACTGGCCAGTTTTTCCGGAAAATCAGCCGCTTTTCCGGAAAAACTTGCCAGCTGTCTACACTGGCCGCTTGAATTTCCGCAAAAGCACTGACGATCTCAGGTAAGATTGTCAGTGTTCTTGTGGAAATACTATGCTGCTCCTGTTTGGGCAAAAGTCCTTTTGCACAAAACTTTTGTGCAAAAGGGCCAGTGTAGACAGCTCAGCTTTGTTTTCCACACAAAAGCCCCAATTGTGAAAATGGCGATCGGGGCTTTTTTGCGGAAAAGCGCGTCTAGATTGGCATGGATGCTTTTCCACAAAAAGTGCTTTTGCGGAAGAGTGTCAAATGCTTTTAACGGAAAACTTTTCCGTTAAAAGCATTTCCGGAAAATCATGCCAGTCTAGATGTAGCCCTGCTGTATAAACGAGGGCTTTGTGAAGTTTGCAAAATGATTGGTGTTAAGGTGGTTACCTAGACTCCATTAAATATTACATCTCTGGACTATATTAGATATACTATTACAAGACTGTGGTGCTTCTTACATGGCAAAGCAGGAAAACAACGGACTTGTGTTGCAAAAAAACCCCACACAAATCATCATGTAACACACACCACACAGGATGACTGTGAAGACTTCCAAGACACAGTTTTGTTTCATAAAATAGCCGTTCCCTGGAGGAAAAGCCCTGTCGTTAAAACAGTCAGTGGTTTGGAGTGAAGGCCGCATTCGCCCTTCTGTTTCTTGGCAACCGTGTCTTCGAGGAAGTGGGCGTCATTCCAGCGATTGTGTTGCAGAGGCCGTTCATCACACCTGTCAAACGATGTCACTGTGTGGTTGGCTGGAGGTTCTTTTGCTGGCCAGCTGGGAGGTGTTTACACAGTCAGGGCGGTTGAGCAATGCCAGCACCACCCAGGCCAAGTTCACATCCCGGACACTGATCTTCCAGCCAAGTAATTGTTCAGCCAGGCCCTG